CACGCACACACATGTTTCCCCATTTTGCTGGCTCCTGAGCCATGGCCTGCCAGGACTCTGCCATGAACCATGTGACCAGTGAACCAGTTGCAGTCCAGCTGAACTATCCCGCACCATTGCTCCCAGTGTAGCTTTCCCTTTTCAACCTTTTTGTCGAAGGTCGCCGCGTCCGCTTCTACATCAGCCCATTTCTCAGTCAGGCCACATGGAAGACATGTCCGCATGGACATGCCGCATGGACATGCACAACGAAAGCAAAGCAGCGAAACATGCTTTCATGAGTTACCTTTGTCAAATGAACCCGTTTTCAGACTTGAGATTCAGTGTTCAGACTTGAGATCCCCATTCATTGTGTGACGTCGCTCTTCCCAGTTCCAGACTTCACAAGACTATTGGATCCCCGGATTGCAGATGGAAGACAAGAGAAAACTCTTTATCTGGATTGAAGATTGAAGATTGAAGATGTCACAAGACTCTTAGCTAAAAATGCTCAATCCAGATCCGTGGATTGGAGATTGAAGATTGAAGGTGTGAGAAAACTCTTGGCCAGAAATCTTCAATCCAAATCCGTGGATTGAAGATTGAAGATCTTACAAAACTCTTGGCTAAAAATCTTCAATCCAGATCCCTGGATTGAAGACTGGGTTGAAGCTTTCTGGCCAAGAGTTTTTTCACATCCTCAATCTTCAATCCATGGATCTGGATTGAAGATTTTTAGCTAAGCGTTTTGTAAGATCTTCAATCTTCAATCCAGGGATCTGGATTGAAGATTTTTGGCCAACAGCTTTGTGAGATCTTCAATCTTCAATCCAGGGATCGTAATCTTGCATCCCAAGTCTGACAGCTGTTCAGACTTGAAAATCCCAAGTCAGTCTGTGTTTGTGTAAGCATAAGTCTTTGGAAGAGCATCAAAGGTGGATCTCAGGGAGTGGGTGGATCTCAGGGGGGGTACCATATATATATATATATATATATATCTGTGTGTGTGTGGGCTAATGGGTCAATCAGGTCCGCATGGTCTCACTCTCCAGTCCTTCAGCTCACCCCATTCCTTCTGAACTGCAAAATCACTACGTGTTGGATCTCAATCCAGTTGCCAGAAGCGACTGGGAAGTCCTTCTGTCAGCTTAAGGCGTTGAACCCCAGAAATCAACTATCGTGTTTTTTTCCCCGCCTTGGGGCACACAACTTGTCGTGTATTCCTTTGCAGTTGGACCGGAAAAACGGGCACCGGATTTCAAACGGTCTACCAGGCTTCGGACCCAAACCCACATCCACTCCACCCTTCGACTCCAGGCTTGGAGAGATGAATCGGCCGACGTGCCCCGTCTCAATCCATCGGCAAATGATGAATCCTTGGACGACCGAGTCGCCGCTCCGTCCACGTCGAGACCGCCGACCGGTGGCACCGGTGGCCGACGGCCGGACCGGACCGAGTCGAGACCGGACGCGCTCGGCTGGGCACAGGCACTGGTGTCCAGCCAGGAGACCTTTGGATAAGTCGTGTGAAAGTGTCCAAGTCGAAATACTTCAAGTTCCAAAGCAAAGGGCGGCTCCAGGGAGCTGATTCAGTTCCGGCCCCAAGGACGAGGACCCCAAGGAAAAAAGGTATGTAGATTCACTGGTCCATTGGTGGCCCCAACATGTTTGGTGGCTACACTTCTTTTGTTCTGACGGGTGGCCACCCGAAGTCATGACAACCGAGCCCCACGGTGCTTTAAGATCGACACCCTCATGTTTGTGGGCCCCTGCAAATGCCCAAACGCTGCAGAACAGGACTCAGATGCTTTCACCACTTTGCAACCTCTCTGATAGACTGATAGACTTCCAAGTTCAATCGAAACCTATGCTTGATGGCGCATATGGCATGCAGGGGTCGTTCACCTCTGACTCTGTCATCCTTCTCTTCTTGAATCAGTTGAAGAAGTGAACAGGACGTTAAAAATATGTGGGTGTGTGTCAAAAACCCGGATCATTCATTGTTGACCCCCCTAAAAAATACCAATCAACAAATATACATATTATTATATATATATACATAATGGCCACAGACTTGGGCACAGGATGGAACAGGTGTTTTTTCCGCCCCATCCGCAACTCAACAAACGGCTGCTTCTGCATCCCCTCGGACGAAGCTTCTCCTCCTCAGGCACCGGGATGTCCGCACAGTCAGAGGTGGTCGCCACACCCGCTGCAGGGCCGTTGGTCACAGCTGCCACCATGTCACTGATGTCGGCCGCGCAAAGGGCCTGAATCAATGGTGGAGTCAGACTGCCAAACATGAGAGGGGTGAGGACAAGTCCATGCAGAGAAGGATGAAGATCCTTGGGGGGCCCGGGCCCCACGACGAAGTCAGTTCAGTGATGAGTTCTGGGCCGATCGGACAGTCCTTCGACCCAAACAACAGAGATGGATGATGCCGTCCCGGATCGGGGGGGGCCGGGTGTGCACACCCAAGAGATCGAGATCGGATCGAATCCTTCCACTGGCCTGAGTGGTGTCTTCACCAAACTACAAGTATATACTTCAACTCTGGTCGGAATAGGAATCACCAAAACTCACTAATTACCGCTCCTTACAGCTCCCTCCTCCACACTGACCATCCAAGAAACATACATCCGAAATCCGAAACATCTCATTTTGGTCGCATGCCAGGGGCGATGCTGCCGAGGTCATGCTGCCGCAGAGGGCAGTCCGAGCGTCCCAGGGAGACGAGCCCCGGTCCCCGTTGCCCCCCGTGTCGCTTCTGGGTGGCCTTCTGGTTCCCCAGCTTCGCGCAATCGGAGACCGCTAAGGCGGTGAACTGCGAGATCCACGCGAAGGAGGAGATGATGTTCCTCAGAGATGAGATCGGTGAAGTTACCTCCTATCATCCAACTGGGTACCTGACGGTACCTGGGTACTTCTGTGCTGATACCTGATACCATGTAGTTACTTGGAACCCATACCTGGAGCTCCATGATTGAGACGTTTAAGGGGATGTCCATTTGGTTCCTGGAACCATACCTGGGAACATGTAAGCCTTGCTGAGACTGGTTGGGTTAGAACCGGACGGACGCCATCCTCCTCCTTCGACTCCTCCAGCTTCGTTGTGAGCCGGTCGTCCGGCCCGAACCCCGAAACCCCACCGATTTCCGGCCGAGGCACATGATGTTGATGGCACAGGCCCTTGGCTGTGGGCAGGACAGGGCTGCCGAGCGGATCTGGAGGATGGCCCGTACGATGTAGGAGGCCGAGTTCGTCACATCCATGACCTCGGGGGGCTCCAGTTCCGTGACAAATCTGCGCGTAACCCACATGCGCGCGGGGCCTCGGCCACGCGGGGCATGACGGTGAGGATCGCCCCAGTGGTCTTCGCTGGGTGATTTTGAGGCCCCTTTGGGGGTGTTCCTTAGGCCCAAAAGGTGGTTTTTGCGATTCCAATGGTCGACCGACCACGCACTGCGTCCTTCTCCCCAAAAAGATCAGGCATCGGCCATGTTCTCAACTGGGTTTGGACCCTCTGAGTTCGCAGGAACCGCGGGCCGAAGTTGGAGGAAGAGGATGGAAAAGGATGGAACACCTAGCACTTCGAATGGGTGCCCAAATGGAGACCTATAAGAATAGGGTAAGGGTAGGGTAGTCTCTTGGTACACCCGGATCATCCTGGAAGGTGTTCAAAACGGGAAACACCTAGGGCCTAGGGCCTGGCCACTCTGGAGAACTCCTGGGCTCGGAGTCTGCACAGGATTCGGCACGGGGTTCCGCTCCAGGCGACGTTGGCTCCCCCAAAACCATCCTGGGACGAGGTTCGCCCTGCCGCTCCGTGCCGTGCCGAGGGACACACTGAGTGAGGTCAAAGTTCCGGTTCCGCTGAACGCTATTGAAGTGATCCCATTTGATCCTCGGGCTCCCAAACCTCCCAAACCTCCGCGCTTTTTCATCACGGTGTTAGATGGAATGCACCACCGCAGCACCGGGCCGTGCGCCGGACGGGATAGACCGGGGCTTTTTGGTTTTCAGGACCGGAGACGAAGAGGACGGCGAATGGGACACAGCGTGATGGGCCAGCACAGTCTGACTCTGTCCTTGTCAGCCCAGTCTATGCAAGCTTTGTGGGATTTTGATGGATTTCGTGGGGTTCAATTGGTTCATTGAGGGATTTCGTATGGCAGCTTCCAAGCCTCGAAGCTTCGAACCCTCGAAGCTGAAGCAGAGGAGAACAGGCCAAAAATGGAATGCCACATGATGCAAAAATGCCCATTCCCTGTGGAGCGAACACACACCAAACACATTCAGTTTGGATGTGCAGTTTCTCCTCGCCGCGGCCAACCGGGGGGACGGAGCTTTGACTCAGTTCCACACAGCAGAGCTGCAGAGTCTCAGCATTCTCCGCTTGCAACTTGGGAACAAAGTTCAGCCAGTACCTCAGAAGATCTACAAATTCATCTCTGAGCAGGGAAAGCCCAAAATCGTTGGCCGACTGGTCCAAACCGGGGCAGTTGATTCTTCTTCTAAGTGTTCCTGAAAGAGGATGTTCCTCTACAAACAAGGAGTCTTCCACTTCAGGCGGGGCCACCCAAAATCTTTTAGAACTCCTACAAAAATCGGATCGCTTCGACCCAAACCCTTCTGAATCTTCTATCAGACTCGTCCGGGACTCGTCTTCCTTTCGATCCAGCCATTGCTGGTGAAGGAATCGCTTGGTGAAGGTTCACTGAACACTTGCACTTCAAAGCCGGGGCTTTTGGAGCTCTCACCGCTGCACGAACTCGACCGCACGAAGAGAAGGATGAGCGAAGACGGACGAACGCTTGGTCGGAATGGTGGGTGAGTTGCTCGGTCTGAGTAGTTGGGCTACTCGGCAAGTTTTATCTCCTTAACCTATAGACCTATTATATATATATATATGTGTGTGTGTGTGTGCTGGTGTCCTTTGTTCCTTCAGCCCCATGACGAACTCGTCCAAATCGTCGCGGTGTTCTCAAGACTGGGCGGTTTGCCTCTGCGCTTCAAACAAGAATCTGTGGGGACCCCAGATCCAAGAAGGGGCCCTGGCCAAAACCTGTCCCTTGTATGACCGCTGGGTTTGCCATGCTTCACCCGACCGCTTCCGAAAGAGATCAAATGTGCAAAGCTGCCAATTTCCGGATGCCCACCGTCATCCACCGTCCGGATGTCCGAACTTCGAACCCATCGACCGGAAGACCAGAGGATTTCCAGACCCGATGTCAGATCATGTGTAGACATCCTGCCTGGATGTAGGATCATATACCAAACCTATATATATATATAAACCCAGCCACCAGACTCTCTCCCAAGGCACTCATGGGGAGGAATGTCAACATCCTTCTCATCCGCTAAAAGGGCCACCCAGTCCTAGGTCAAATCGGATGCATCGTTGATGATAAGGGATGCAAACATGTCATGTGGGTCATGATCAGAATCTACATGAATCTACAAAGGTTCCATCATGTTCCATCTATGTACTTGATAATAAACATGTACAGTAACATGAAAAGGACCAACAACAGCCAGGATAAGCCACCAGTTGACGGAAGACTCCCGTACCGGTGGCCAGAATGGTAAGGCATTCTTCTAGTCTGTAGAACTCAGTTTTTAGTTCTCAGTCTTGAATTTGGAGCCCCGTCTCCTCCACCTATGAGAACCTCATGTTCTCCAGAATGCTTGCGGCCGAATGCTGCTGTCGGCTGAATGCTGCTTTGGGCTCCGGTGACAGCAAGTTCTCACTTCCAGAGGCTACTTTGAATCGTCGGGAGTGTGACCAAACTGTTCAACTCAGTTGCACCTGATCTTCTTCCCAAGTCCTAAGCACCCGCTACAGTATAGCTAAGTGCAGTCGTCCCGTTCCTTGCTCAAATGGGCGTCTTGATTCATCTGTCAAAGGGAGTCTTGATCATCTGTCAAAGGGAAACAACCCAACGGATTCGCCAGAGAAGTGAATGGATTCCGTGACATGAAGTCGCTCTACCGCTGATGGACGAAAAAACTGCTTGACCGGCAACTCACGGGGATGATGTGCAGCGGACCATCCCATCTGGGGGGGCGTCTGGTATGTGGTCCATTGAGCCGCGAGACAGGCATCCCCTCTGCAGTCTCAGTATGGCCAACGAAACATGTTGTGTGTACTCTTGATGAATACAACCACCTCATTTGGACTGAACACCTCATATGATATATTGGATTCATCAAGAGTCCATGTCTTCTCACCCCCTTTCTCGCCCCCTTTGCGACCGGCCTTGCCGAAGTCGCAATCCTCCTTGACCGCCGCGCCCACGGTGGCCATCTCCCCGAAGTTCGCCATCAGGGCCGTCCAGTCCCCTGCCTTCGGGGAGCGGAGCGGTTCCCGGTAGGACGTTGGTGGAGCGGCGGTGGTCAAAAAGGCCGGTGGCCTGAAGAGTTGGAGAGTTTTTGGGTTTTGTTGGTTTATGTTGGTTTGCTACCTGCAGTCATTTGATGGCATACCTTGACCACTTAGCTTTTTGTTGAAGTGATATACGTATAATTACGTATGTATCCCATTGTATCCACCATAAGCTGGCTACTTGTGTAGTCTGTTCACCCGTCCATGCATCGGCAGTCCCAAGTTCCACACACTTAGGACCCCTGGACCCCTCATTCTCTCGCAGGGCTAGCTGCTGACTCAGCACGCCGGTCCTGAGAGTCCCCCAAACATCAAGGATCACCTCCGGGACTTCTTGGCTGTGGAATATCCTGGAAATTGCTGTACCTGCTGAGAGTACTGAGACATGAACCTTCCTTGCCTCCTAACCACCGGCGATGCGACCGTCCCATCGATGTGTCATGATCGACCGCCCCAGCGGCGCAAAGGGCGTCGGGCTTCACGGCATTCCCGCAGGCACTGGCCGCGAAGGACAGGTAGGAGGCGATCCTGGGCGAAGTCGTCGAGTACACACTGAGAAGAGAAGGTTCACGTGGTGTCAACATGCCTCAACTGATGAGTGGATTGAAAAGGGTTCAATGTAGGGGCAACGCGTTGTTCATGTGTATCGGACACTTCCACATGTCATCCAAGATAAGAATCCCTGTCAGACAGTAAGTCACCCAGGTTTCGATGCACGGCTTGGTGGATTCTTGGTCGGATTTGTTGTAGAAATCGTCGCTTCTTGCTACTAGTAGTGCCAGGAGCTACTAGTGGCTTCTTGCTACTAGTAGCGATGCCCTTGTTTACGAGCAGCTTCGGGGTGTCAACTATGTACCGAGTCTAGCCCCCACGACGAGCCCATACAGTACTCGTACGAGCCCGGTCTTCAGATCGGCGAGGCGTCGTGGGAAGAGACGCCAAACTGCGTCTCTCAAACTAGAAAGCATACCCTTCCCCCCTAAACCCAACCACGCCCATACTTGCAAAACACCGCAAGTAGAAATTGAATGCTTCAGATCAACACCTAACACCCCCCAACAAAAAAAGATGCAAAAACCCTTCAAACAAGTAAAGAATAAAAAGGGCTGGAATCTCAAGGCATCTAGCTTCATCTTCACATCTCGTAATTTTAACATAATAGTTTAACATATGCAATATGGTCACCCATGGCTCAATCTCTTCCTCCCATGGTCACCCTTCCTTGCCGCCCCCATTGGGGCCAGGTCGCCAGGTGATGGAGGTGATGAACCCAGCCACGCTGGCAGCACAGCCTGGGGTTTTTCTCTTCAGCAGTGCAACGGTGCAGCGGGTTCCGCCGCCCGGCCGTGTGTGTGTGTGTGTGTGTGTGTGAACGCTGAGAACAGCGGTGGCAGTGTGTTCTTCGTTTGGGGAACGGCGGAACGGAGGGAGGGAAAACGAGGGAACCTCCACCAAGAGCGCAGCGTCGCAGCGTCTTGCAGTCCATGACGGATGGGTGAACAAAGTTCGGCGCCGATTGGGAAGATACCGGATACCCCAATTGTCAGTTGCCAATAAGGCAGGATGCTAGTGTCAGTTTATAATTGGTTTTAAAAAAACGGCTTTCTTCAAACAAATACATTCTCATAGCCGCCATAACCTCAAAGGCGTAGAGTAGGCAGGTAGAGCGTACCATACCTCTAGATCATTCTTTTTCGCGGTCGGGGAGGATTCCGAAATGTCCAGTACTGATTATTGTATAGACCAGCAGGAAAAAAAAACACCCCAAAACGACCCCAGGAGGAAAAAAGCACCAAAACGACCTCCAAAATAAACAGAAAAGATTCCCACAAAAAATGCAAGAAACCCACCTCACTCTAAAGGATCGTATCCTTGGGTGCAAAGGGTCTGAAAACATCAAGACCTAGTGCAGTGGACTAATAAGGTGCCAGACGGTGAAACATGCTTGTCTCATGGAGGCAACATGGTCACCGATTCTCTTTCTTGTGGATGTTGGTTTGTATTCCGGATGACGTGCTGACTTGTGTGCGTACGTACGTACCAGTAACAGGCAAGTACTTGCCTGCAGCCATTTTGCCCCCAATATTAGCCTGACTGGGGGCACCACATGGTCTCATAAATCACCAGGCTGACAAGTCAAGGCAACCATCTTCCCGATGGCTTTCCAAGGCAACCAAGCGGCCCACGGGGCTGTTGTTGGGGCATTTCAAGCCAGGATAATCGATGGCCTCGCCCAGACCGAGCCAAAGCATCATGGAGACTCTTGATTCATAAAGCAACCTAAGCCTGAAGGGGCTTTACAATCCATGTCTGGGGAGCGGATTTATGTCTGGGGAGGGGAGCACTAAGAGTCTACATGACGATCCGGAGAAACGGGAGAATGGGAGAGACTCCCTCTGCTGGTCACCGGTCACCCCAAAGCTCCCGATGCCTCCCGCCTCGCCGATGAACCCCCCACCGGGACAACGCGCCCCTCCTTCACCCCCCACGTCCACGAGATGCATGGACGTGGTCCAATTGTTGCAACATCCATTGGTCCAATTATGACAGGAAGTTTATGGAGAGGGCACACCAACCCTTGACTCCTGGAAGTCTACACTCCCTGAAACACTAAAAAATAGTTATGGGAGTGGAACGTTTACAGCCCCTGGAAGACCCATTTTCCTCTACACGGGGCGTCACTCGTTGTTATTGTTATTTCGTCCCTCGTTGTCCGAACTCTTATCCCCCACACATCACCGTTTCCCCGTACCACCCCGCACCAACCGTGAAGACCACCCGGCACCTTGTACAGGAAGACCACTGCCTGGCCCAAATAGGCGGCCGCCTGGACCACATCGATCACGCACTCGGTGCGGATCCATGGCAGCTCCGTGGGCTGCGACTCGTAGAACAGGTCGTCCAAGTGACCTCAGCGAAGCGAACCCACGAGTTCCGTCGCCGGAACTGGGGAGTTGGGTGAACTCAGTTCCGCTCGCTCCAAGGCGCCATGTCTGGGCCGTCTGACTGCCCGTGTTGCTCGGTGTTCGGTGCATGTTGTTTGCCGAGGTTTTCAGCGATGTGAAGGGTTCTTTCATGTTCTTTCATGTCTGATGCAAGGTGAGAGCTAGGCTAGTGGCTGTTCTTATATAAGTTGATTTGGTCCTGGTAGAGTGGGCCGGGCCCTTGGTAGGCCAGCTTGCGACAGCAAGATAAAGAGCAACAACTTCACCCCAAACAGTTTGCCCCGAAAATTTAATTTTGAGACTTCTCCCAAACAAAAAGCATCCAAGTCCACTCCCCAACAACAGAAGAACTCCTTGCCACCAGAGACTGAAACTTTCAGGAGCTGGGCAACGTGGCACGGGCAACGAACGCCCATTCTAGTGGGGTCTGAATCTGCCAAAAGCCTCACAGCCCGATCGCCCCATGGCGAGATCGATCCGGATCGATCCGGATGAAGCACCCCCATCCCTCGCACCAGCCAAGAAGGGAGGAGAAGGGAGGAGGGAGGTTGGTTGCCTCCACCGGCTCCCCCCAAAGAACACCCCTAAAGAGCACGAATGTAGTAGTCCAGGGGCGCAAGGGCTGTTTCAGCTCCAAGGTCTTGGCGTGCTCAATGACTTCATCGATGCCTGAAACACACGCCGTGACCGACCGATTGACATCCCCTGCCAGGTAACGTGGAAGTTCTTCCATCAACGCCACCGATTGGATGCCCTCTGGAAGAAAAGAAAACCGCAACTCGTCGCCTTAAATCGCTAGCTATTCTGTGCAAGGCGGACCGTGAATACTGTACCATTGGATCCAACATGGATGGTCTCCAATAGGGGACAAACTCTCCTCGGGGACCCTTACATGAGTGTAAAACATCAGTATCCCTTGCAGGTCCCATGTCATGCAGCTTCAGCTAGGAGTCCAACGAGTCATGTTCAACGAGTCTTCACCGGTGTCCGGTCCAATGCCACGGTCGTTCACCCGACCCCCCACAGGCAGAGCTCTCCCGCCCCCCCCGTTGCGCCCGTTTCGCGGCGGGCTTCGGCCGACGGAGCGCGCGGCACCCTTCGGCGCCTGGGATCTCTTCCCAGTGCTGCACACTGGCCTTCACATCGATGGGGTCGCCAGCCGGTCGGCCGGTCAGGGCACCAAACTTCGCAAGGCCTCGGCGGAAAAGGAAGCGCTGGGGCCGCTGGTTGAAAGCAAGAAATGAACTGAAGCTGCGTCCTCTGGAGAATGAAGGGGATGGATGCTTCACCAAGACTCTGCAGCCCTTCTTTTGGGTTCCAAACAAAGACTTGATGATGATGATGATGATGATGATGATGATGAGGAGGAGGAGGAGGAGAGCCCCGAGTTGTCATCTGATCCTCTTCCAAGCCCGTCCTACCCAAGTAGAATCTACAAAAGAAATTTCAAAACTGTCAGAAAGCTCTTCAAGAGAATGACTCAATGACCAAGTCGCAGTCGCAGTCCAAATCTGTTTTCCACTGCTTTCCCCTCCTTTTCGACCCCACAAGTCTCTCTCATCTCTCTCCCTCTTCCCCCTTCCTCTCTCCTGTGTCCGACCATGTCCGAAATGCACCATGATGACCCATGGCACAATGGCACTCGACCACCGAAAATCAAGGGAACACTGGACCGCTCCAGTCCGCCAACCAGGGCGAATCCCTGAGCTTCCCTGCAGCCCAGCACCGCCGCCAGCGCCGCCAAAAAGCCCACGGCAAGCCAGGACCTGGCAAGAGGTTTTTCTCGCAGCGGTTTGGGGGACTCTGTGGAGATGGTGGTTGGATGTGGTATGACGTGGTGATTCTTTAAGTGTGCGTTTTCTTAAAGGAAGGTTTGGATATGGTCGGATTGCATTTTGTGTATACATGTATACATGTGGAGGATTTGTACACATGCAAGGGTGCTTCAATTGGTTGGGGGAGGAGATGAAACATGAGGGCTGGATTTAAAATGATTCCAAACCTTTGCGGCCCGTCGATCATGAAAACGCGTTTCTCAAACGGATACTCAATGTTTGTAGGTTTGAGTTGCGTTGTGAACAATGTCACGTGCTGGTGGCATGTGTGCCCCCCTGCTATTGGACTGTCTTGGACCGAAAGATGGAAATGAATAAAAAAGGGATGGAATGATCCGGAATGATCCTGTTTCACCCATTGTTTCAGGTTTCCCATGTCTTCATAATGTCTCAAGGGCGCCGGTGCTTTTTCACATCCCAAGGCCAGCAAAAGGGAATGAACCCTTCGGTGTCCATCCTCGGCCATGTATAGAATATGCTTTGCTCATCAAGATTCGACATTATGTTGACCCCCGCCCCATAATGTCCCGTCGGGACCTTGCCTCCTTGTTCGAAAGGGCCAAACAACGTCCTGGGGCCGTTGAAAGCAGGCTGATCACAAACCAATGACGTCATCTGGTCGAGAAGTTTTGGAAGGTAGGCTGAAAGAATTCTACACAAACTCTGCTGGAATTTTGATGTCCAAAATCCTGAGTCATCTTTTTCAAGCATCCACAAAAATCTTAAGAAATGCCTGCAAACCCTACTCTTCCTCCCCATCTCCACTCTCCAGCTTGTCCGACCCCCACGACGCGCTCGCTCACTTGAAACATCCATCCTCGGCCTTTGCTTGGACTTCGTGGGGGCTTTCGCCCAGCCAAAGCTCCCGATGACTGGCGAAGGAGCATGATTCACACCCGATTGGGCGAAAAGAAGTTTGGGTCCGGGTGTGGGAGCTCAAAAAGGGAGGACCAGAGGAGTTCCCCTATTCAAACACACACTCACATTGGGATGAGCCACAAAAAATGAAAAGTCCACAAAAATCTACGAGGTCAACCGGTCATGGAGCGAAGACGGCGAAACGGGCGGCGATATGGAAAAATAGTATTGAAAACAAAATGAGGAAATGTACGTCTTTCTTTTCTGCTTTGTCAAAATCAAGCTTTTTCAGAAACATTCAGAAAGAATGAAGGAAATTGTACCATCATCATTTTATTGGTCTTCTTGAAGCACTTGTCCGACCTGATACAAAAGAACCTCGGCTCGTCCCCAAAGAGGCAGTTCCAAAATGCACATGTCCCGATATGGATCACCGAGTCTGGCGACCAGAAAGATGCAACTCTGAAACGCAAGTCGACCAACCTTTTGCATCAAGCAAAGGAAGAAGTCCCAAGTTGTGTGGTCAAGTCGACCAAGTTGGCGCAAGTCTCCGATACCGAGTCCGGAATTCTCATTCTAGCCAATGCGGCGCAACTGTGAAACGCATGGTCAGCCATTTGGCTTTCACCATCTGCAAAAGCAACCACGCGTAGCAAATGGTCAACGATGCCACCAAGCCCAGCCATTTCTTCTACAGAGGTCCCCTTTTTTGAGCGAGCTCATCCCAAGGCTGTCCATCCTTGATCTGCTGTTTCAGCTCCATGTTGTCTCTGTCGTGACTTCAAAAGCCAGGCTTTCACCACTCGGCAGCTCTGCTCTAAATGTCACCTTGCCTTCCATGGCTCAAGGGTTTGCGAGCGGCGATGAGGTCGTGGTTGTCAGCATCCGGTTCCTCAAGCTCGTGCAAGAAGTGTCCGAAGCGCTTCGGCGGAACGAGGGCGTAGATGCGATGGTTGCCTGCAACAAGCGAGCAGCGGAGGCATCGGGGCTGGGAACATAGAAAATGAACTGGAAACATCTAGACAGGTGTGGTCTACGACGGGCTGGTTGCAGTCAAGGAGCAGGTGGCGGTTGCGGTGTGGATGGCTTGGCGGCATGGGGGCTGGTGGGGCTGGTGAGCCCGAGCGCCGCGCAGTACATGCCGGGGGTGACTGCCCCGGTAGCGGAGCGCTCGCTCGCAGGCGGCTCCGGGTGACAAAATGACAAAACTGGTAAAACAGGGAATGTTTGTTTCTTGCCGTTGATGCTTTATGTGCTAGGGCTTGTGGGACTTTTTTGCCCCTAACTTTCACTCTCATCATCTTTATTAGATGAGGTGAGGAATTGTTTAGGTTGTTGCGTTCTATTTCTGGGTCTGGGCTTCTGGGTCGCAGTTATACTATAGTTATAGGTTGTACTGTAAAATGTATGGGGTCTAGATATGGTATAGTTATAGGCGTTCTTCTTCAGGTTCTCATTTTGAAGCGTTTTTATCTACAACTATTCGTTTCTTTTCAGTCAGGTATATTCAACCATAGTGTTCAACCATTGTTTATTGAATACAGCTTTTGAGCTTTATAAATGCGTTCGCTCTAGGGTTAACCACTTCAAAACCTTTATTAGGAATTTATCCCATGTCAGATAAGTATCATCATCACATTCACCAGGTTCAACCAGGTTGAACCGAAAGGTCTAAATGTTCTAAAACATAGTTGTTGATACTTGTATTTTAGAGAGTTGTATTGTTGTGGTCTTTCAATGTTGAGTTCGTCCCATTCAGGTTCTTTGCTCATTCTTCTTCTTACATCTTGCGCACCGCGCACGGCCAGAAATGGAAACGTCATATTGAAGGAGAGGCCTTGGTTTACACCGTCTCTTTGCCATGACACTCTTTCCCATGACTGGGTCGCTATGGCACGGTTCAACCCAAACTCGGCCTGAAGCCACTGGACAAACTGGAGACCCTCCACGAGAAAGCCGGAAGCAGCAGTCCAGCCCGTGAACTGGCTTACGCGGAGCCCGATCCTCTCTAACGAGCCAGTGCCCAAGCGCAGCGGAAGCGGTTGGAGCTTGGCCAAACGCTCTTTCAGCAGCGCCTGGGCATCCGGGTCCGCGTGGACTTGCTGCCGTAGGCGAACGCACCCCTCCACACGGAACTTCCTCACCCTTTTTCGGTGCCATGGAGGACGTTCTGGTAGAGACAGAGCAGGTAAGAAGGTAGGTAGGTAGGTAGGTCGGTCGGTAGGTAGGTAGGTAGGCAGGTAGGAAGTAGTTGTAGTATTAGTAGTATTAGTAGTATTGGTACTATTAGTAGTATTAGTAGTATAAGTAGTATAAGTAGTATGAGTCGTATGAGTAGTATAAGTAGTCTAAGTAGTAAGTAGTAAGTAATGAGTAGTAAGTAGTAAGTAGTAAGTAGTGCTAGTACGTAGTAGTAGTAGTAGTAGTAGTAGTAGTAGTAGTAGTAGTAGTAGTACTAGTACTAGTAGTAGTAGTAGTAGTAGTAGTAGTAGTAGTGGTAGTAGTGGTAGTAGTAGAAGTAGTAAGTAGTAAGTAGTAAGTAGCAAGTAGTAAGTAGTCAGTAGTAAGTAGTAAGTAGTAAGGAGTAAGTAGTAAGTAGTAAGTAGTAAGTAGTAGTAGGTAGTAAGGTAAGGTAAGGTAAAGGTAAGGTAAGGTAAGGTAGGTAGGTAGATAGGTAGG